CAAGTCAACGCGAGAGACAGCAGTTGAGTCTTTCGCCTGCCCGCTCCGTCTTTGGCCAGCTGCGGAACATCACCGCGACAGATATCGCATGTGTCTGCAAGCGAACATACGATGTGACTCATCCGGCGGTTCGGCCGCTGGATAATATGTATACGCATCCCACCCAGAACCATCTCCCAGATCAGGAGGCGCAGCTCAGGCGCGAGTTTCATCAGTAGCGAGCAGTCGGGCTGGGATATCCATTCCAGCCGTGTGTCCGTCTGCTTCTGGGACTGGCTTCGTCCGGAGAGGACACTGTGCCTTCTCGATCTGGGTAGCGCTGCTGGCTTGTTGTCTGGATGAACTCAGTCAGTCATGCACTGCATAATACTGCTTTGCATTTTGAGATACATATGGTAAAGGGTGGGGTTTGCAACTTTGGATCCAGGCTTACAGGGTATACATTTCGACTTACTTTGATACCGCTGGGCCAGCACATCCTCCCAGGAGAAAACGCCTTGCTTGATCCTCGCCATGTCTGAGTCGACACTCAAAATACCAATATATACCTCGTCGAAGTTAATAGACCAACGCTCTCGTCACCGCCAATCTAGCTCAGCTCAACCCCGCACGGCATCTTAACAGATCATGATGGGATTCATGGATTCAAAATAGAATAATGATAGCAGGTATACTTCGAGCAATTCAGCCCTTTGCTGTAAGCTTTCCAGACACGAGTAGCCAGCGCCGAAAATGTTTGGATAAAAGAAGGAATGAATCACGCGATGTCCAAACGTCGGGTCATATGTGGCTGGTGGGTGAGGGGAAACCGATAGTAAGCGTATCAGGAGCAGCGGTCGAGTCAATGCGATCGGTATCGAAAACTGAAAGTCTCATAGTGCAAGTAGAAGAGTTGATTATCAGAAATAGATGAAGTGTCGGTGAAGAAGTATAGAATGGACAAAAGGGGCATTGGATCTAAATAAAGGAAGGGGAGATAACGCTATGATTCACTGATAAGACCCTTTTAGAGCGAGTATCTAGTCTACTGAAGACCTTATCGGTGGTTCTCGGCAGGAGCAACACCCGATGGTTTCCGATTTGGTAGATATCCCAATGTAGTAAACAACAGTTCAAAATACTTGATACACTGATTACATCCTAATATTGCCGAAAACTGAGGGTCACACCTTGTCCACAGTCCATATCCATACTCCTGTAAGGCCCACTTAACAGTTCAACATATAGTTTTGCGATTTTTGTCTGTGTTGGGAGTAAAATCCATGAGTCTTACAGAGTAGTTGCTAACAGTACCCGAGTCCTACGACTACTACTAAGGGGTTCCGAAAAAGAGGAGGGAACAGGTCTTTTTTCACAATGCCAGCATTTGATTTCAAAGCAATAACTGTTCGTGGTATCATGGTCCTCATAAGCGAATGACGAATTCCTTCCTGCAGATCCCTAGTTCATGCAAATGAGCGACACTTACTGCAAGCATTTGGCCAGCAAAGTCAACAAAAAGTAACGACTGAGCCCTACCCTCCCTTGTAATGAATGACCCGGCGACTTGTCTGGCACAAAGGAAACGAAAGTATGGAACTCTAAGAGTTGCATGCCTACTGAGCGGTGGCGGTAGGGCTAGTAAGTCCTAGAGTGTTAGTCGGGCATGGCACTGTCAGTCCCTGATACAGCATTGACAGTCCCGCTGATTGGAGTTTGTCAATGGTCTTCTCCGGTGGCACGGTGCCCACATAGGCGTTAAAGTTGTAGATGCCGCAGATGCAGGTGTCAACAATGTCTTTCAGACTCGTGTCGGATAAGACGGTTTGCCCATTGCGCAGGAGTGAAAACTGCTGTTTGCCGACGCCCATAGGTGCTGCAAAGGCGCTGGCACCTGCCTGTGCTTGGAATGTCTTGCTGCCGCTCCCTGAGGTCACCTGAACAGTAGCGGGTGACTTGAGCAATGAGACAACAAACACCTCATCGGTCATTGTCTCGTACCCGTTTGGTCGTCCGCGGAAGAAGTTTCCGCTTGAGTTGTTTGGATTTCCCTGCATGGTAGTGTCCGTTGAGTCGCAATTGATGTCTTTAGGAGTTGGTCTATACCAGTAGATCAACTTGTCTTCGGTGATGTAATTGTTGGCGGACTTTTCGCCGGCCTTGTAAGCAGCAATGAAAGGTTTGGACATTTCCAGCCATCCATTGTGCGGCCTTGAAGAAGTGGTCAGCGCTATACCTGGCGACAAGGAGTGCAATCACCTACATATCCATCACCCATTTGGAGGCTCCGTCATCAGTGTGAGGCGAGGATAATGGTCCGATGTAGTGGGACTCTCCGTAGTCATTCCAGGTGACTATCTCAATGAACCGTGGCCCGAGATTCAGGACCTCTTGCCATCTGTCATACCAGAGAAGATCTGAAGGAAAGACCCAATTCTTGCTATAGGGAACCTCGCCGCCGAAATGGGTTGAGAACCAACCGGAGACAGCTGATTTTCTGTGAGCCAAAGTCAAAGGACAAAGGTTGGGAGCTTCGAAGACTCACGTGCAATATATGGCTTTCCGTTTAGAGCTGCGATGTATTTACTGTCGCCTTCTGCAACGCTCACGCTATGACCTGGAGTCGGTGCTTTGTTGTTGTCATTGTTAGGCCAAGCCATCCAATTCAGTGCACCTTGGATAGCATTGAAATCTCCCACTCCTGGATGAAAATTCGGCGCGAAGAACACCTCGGTGCCAGCGGCGGAGTTCAAGGCAGGGATATCAAGGCCGTCACCGGCAAACGAGGACGCAAAGACTTTACCATCCACCTTGAGTTGTGCCGGTAGACTGGCATATTGTCTGATCTTCTGTCCCACAGCAGTGGCTTGTCCAGTATTGTACCAATTGAAATCAAATGAGATGAAGACTTTCATGTCATTTCTTGCGGCAGATTCGTAGGCGAAGTTGAGCTGCGTATCGGTGTATGGATCCACGCCAATGTTCAAAGCGAATGCATCTATTCCCAATGCTTTCGCACGTTGCATGTCATCATCATAATCCGCGGCGCTCTGGCGGTTGCTGGTTATGCCGATCTAAAGTGAAGTCAAATGTCAGTTACTTGCTTCGAACTCAACCTAGATGGGTTCTTGACTTACCATAAAATGACAGAACACAAGTCTGTCGGTGGCACTGGCCTCGGTAGAAACATTAGTTGAAAAGGGCTGTGGCATCGGAATGGCAGTTGCCAATGCCGACAGTCCAGCGAGGGCAAAGGAGAGTGATTTGAGAAGCATCATCTGCAGACAATCAGCCTTTGCTTGAGATCAAATGCAGTAAAGCAAACGTGTGCTTCATCGTGGTATAACCGACCATGATAGTGTAGAAGGAACGAACTTAGTGAGCTAAATGATTGCAACAAGCCAAAAGGAAGGAGTGTTTCGAAGAAGCCAGATTTGGCAGTGTGCTAGTTTGTCGACATGTTCTGAGAGCAGAGACGTGTGAAGGAATGGCCTTTTTGTATTCATCACAAGAATGACAAGTCAACTCTCACTGGCCACCTGAAGGTCCATATTACGGTTGCAGTGTGCTTAGCAAAGATCTCTGATATTTCTTTCTAAGTTGTTCATTGGCCTGAAAACAAGGCTCAGGACCGTAGCAGCGTCTCATCATGAGGCCAATGACTGCAACGGTATCACACGAATCTTGTCAAGACCCTCTTTTTGAGATTGAGTGTCCTGTCTCAAATGCTTAGGGCAGTCCCAATGGCCGGGTTTATTTTGGCGCCGAGACAGATGAAGGAGACGTCCCAGTCAGAAACTGAAATCGATCGGGTTTCAGCAAAGACCACGGGAACATTAGAGTCAAGCGACGGCATCATCTGGGATAAGAGAAGCTTAAAGCTTGTTGTGCGATCTGTGCATGACTTGATTGAGACTAGAAGCTTGAAAGATTATCATTCTTAGAATGATTCGGATAGCCCCAATTGGGCCCTAAGAGGGTTGAGGACGCGAGAGCCGAACACTTCAAACAAAGGTCATCTGTCTCCAATAACATGATTGCCGATATTCATCGGAACGATCAGATGTCCTCATTAGCTTCATGATGTGAGAAGCATATTTCGTCTACATTTTTCGAGCCTCATGGTGGGGATGGCGGGGCACAACAAAGACGAAACAGTGAGTAGTCAACCTGCATAACAGCATATGCCGTACCCCATGTTACAACTTATGTTGACAACGAGCTTCTGTAACCCTGAGAAGCCATGAATCCAAAGCCAAGTTTGCGGGGTAGCATTCCTGGCCGGTCAGCCACGCGATCTCATCACCGGACATACGGAATCTATGTGGTCGTGGGCTTGTTTGGTTATGATTGGGGAAGGGAGGGTTCCGAGTATATGGAATATGCTCTTAATCTGGAAGAATGCAGTCATAAGGGTCGCTGTCGGTAAATGCAGCACTGGAAGCACTTGATGGTCTTAGATGTGGCGCGATGGCTTGCGACCTTATTCGAACCACTGATGCACTGCGTTTTTCGTTTGTGTAACGCGAAGTTGAATATTCAAACCCGTGTGATGTCGACATGGTTTTAACTCTCTCTTATTGGAGTCTCTGAGAAACACGCGATAATATATCTTAGGATCACTGTAACGATTCTTGCGCTGCCATCCCTGCCTTCAGTTGCATCTAAAGCCAGAGATCGGCGAAGCAGATGAAGATAAGTTGTAACAGTTCAAACGGCTTGCAGCTATAGGCCCGGTGGAAGGGAAGTTGTCGTGTCCATTGAGAACATGTGGCACTGAAAGCGCAGCTCTGGCGACATCCATGGTGTTACTGTTTCATGTCTCCGAGTATGCATCCTTGGAGTATATGAGGCATACGGGTTGTACTAAGAGGATCGGCATATAATGGCTCAAGACGGGTTGCATCATACCATAAGATAAACAAATCATAGACTATTTATCCTTAGTGTCTAGCTGTGTAAGTAAAGTAACTTCCTCCGTAAGGCGCTCAGGGTAGAAGTCAAAGGTCGAGGACGGATTTCTACAACACAGCAAACGCAGAGACATAGCTCACGGAGCTGTCAGCCACATTAACAGCATCCGAGCTACGCTCGTACCGAATAAAATGAAACGCGCCCTTCTTCCCGTCCTCCTGGGTCCTGGTTGCTTCAATCGCGGCCATGATCACCCCAATGGGATGGCGGCCGCATACCGTATTACCTGTTTTTTGTATGACATCAAGAAAATTCTCGGTCTCGCCTGTAGCTATGGCAGCCATAGTTGCGATATCGAAAGCAGAAATGCTCTCGTGAATCGCTGGCTCACGACTGTTAATTCGGTCTCTCCGCTGGAGGGAGTGACCCGCTGACACCCGCTCAATTTTTTCTTCAAACTCATCCAGGTCATTGCTCGGCTGAGGCAGAGCGTCGGCGGAAAGAGGAAGCTTCGGCCCAGGCTTGGGAGCTTGGGGGACGTAGTATGTGTAGCTGAAGCGAAGGCCCCAGTGGCAGAAATCTGAGCTAATCACAAACACATTGGAAGGATCTTCCATGTAAGAAGCAAGTAAGGCGCCAAAGGCTTGCTCTGTAGATGCAGAAGTGCTTCCGACCAGGATTGGTACCAGGGGCGGATATTGAGATGTCCGCTTGGCGGGATGTTGTAGTTGTAGCAGGCGGTGGATATAGGGCAGATGAAGCTCAATGCTGTGTTCGTCCTCGTCGACCGACCGGGTCATAGTTGTGAAACTGACTGTTGACCCGTTCGGTTTGACTGCTTTTGCCGAAAGAAGCTTAGCGATAAGCTCCGTGTCAAGCGGTAGAGGCTCGTCTGAAAGTGGGGTGTAATAGGACGTAAGCTGAGGGAGAGCGAGTGTCGAGAGATAGTGGTGATGCGATGGGCCTAGGATGAAGATCCGTTTCCTGGTCTCAATCAGTCAGCAAAGAAAAGCAGCAAGCACTGAGCAGGGCCATTTTCTCACGCCTTGGACAAGTCCAGAGCTTTGTATGCGTAAGCTGCACATGGTCCTGAGTAGGCATAGCCCGCGTGACTGGATCATCAGCACTAACTCCCGAGTATGATGCTTTTTTTTTCTAGTTCTCTATGATACATACGGGGCAATGATAACTCGGGAGCCAGGTACAGGTAAGGAGCCGATTCCCTCGATTTCGTTGGGAACATGAGCGAGCCACTGGTCTAGTTGGCGGGTCAAAGTGCTTCGGTTGTCAGAGTACCATGAGCCTGCGTGGGAGGGCTCTCTGGACTGCATAATGTCTGCTTATCCTTCTTGGTGCTGAAAAATCTTAGCATATATCTTGCAAACTGCAGTGCTAATATCTTCAAATTGTTGGAGAAGTGTCGTCCATGAAGGCGGGGAAGCGGGACATCGTCATAGTGGAGACTATCAACACTACTAGAGGCTAGACTGGAGCTTACGGCCTAATAATAAACAGAGAGTACCCGAGTTCCGAAGTAAGGTTCAGGTTACCTCAATAAAATGCACCATCACCGATATTCTCAAACCTCCTCCGCCAGGTCCTTTAGCCAATATTTATAGTCATAGTGGTTGCCCACGCCACCAGGTAATTGCTTCCTCTAGCTGCCTATCATTAGATAGGACTGTCTAGATTTGCATACAATCTCCAGTTACCCATATCCTGCCATCTGCCTGTTATGAAAGTGCAATCGATATTTCACTCTGCTTCGTATAGACCTTCCACGGAACGCGCTACAATCTCACCTAGTGCTTGCACTTCCGATCTTTGAACAATGTAGCCGTATCCAACACTGTGCCATTTCGACTTGCCACAAACTCATGTGTCAGATGCGAGCAATTGTGGAACGTCAATTTGCTCCATCCATATGCTGTATCCTGTGCATAGCGGGAGTAGCTCTGGAGAGGGCGGACCAGTGAATCTAGGCCATCGTAATGACCTGCAGCTCCATTGGTAATGTACCAGGGGGCAGTGGGATTATTCAACTCGTTCGGGTCAGCGTTGAAGTTGGCAATTGGGGCGTTCCGCTCGTAGTAGTGGGTATGGCCGGACAGGACCAAGTCGACATTGTACTTTAAAAACAGGGGTTCCCAGACCTTGCGGCAGTTCTCGCAAATGGTGCCACTCTGGTTCTTCCCGCTGACATACCAGGGTCTGTGGCCAGCTGAATAGATATTCACTGTTAGTATTCAAACCATGTGGTCAAGTACTCGTTCTGCACATACCAACAACTACCCATGGAGTCTTAGCCCGATCAACAGAAGCCAGGTCCTTTTCAAGCCAGTTAAGTTGCTGGTCGTAAAGACCGAAGGGACCGCTATCTTCGCCCTCAGCTCCAGTAGGCTCATCAGGACTGACTATCCCATGACCAAGATCTGTTTCAGTGTCAAGTTGGATGTAGTGGACCATCCCATTGTCAAACGAGTACCAGAAATTCTCCACACCACCAGACTGAGCGCTGGGCATGCGGAAGTGGTTTCGGAATCCGGTAAAGTTAGTCTGGCCAGGCATACAGATGCCAACATTGTAGGTGATATTGTGGACACTATCAGTGGTGCCACCATTGTCGCCTACGGTGGCGGTTAACAGATAATTAAGATATGTATGCCAGAGGGAGGTACATACAGTTAGACTCATGATTACCAGGCCCAACCATATACGGCTTGTGAGCAGTAATAACTGACAGTTCGTCGTAATACTGGTTCAGCAGGCTCTCATACACCTTAACACCATCGGCTATTGTGGTGTTAGGAAGGAACCCTTGGATCTCCTCCTTAAGCCAGTAGTCAGCGTATGCAATGTCACCAGCTGAGAGATGTTAGATCTTTGCTCCCATAGACGTTACTGCGAGAAGACGTACGGTGCCAAAGGAAGTCAGTGTTGACTCCTTGGGCCAGTAAGGACTGGACTGTATTGTTGTCGTTAGGGCCAAGGGGATTATGAGCCCCCTTTCCAACACTTGTGGTGAGACCCATAGCACCCATGAGACCCATATCAATCGCGACGGCGACGGTATAAGGGGTCTGATCACCGGCCTGACGGCTAGTCTTGAAAGTGTAGGGAGTAGTCGCATTGCTATGCTGAGGCAGGTAGTAGTACAGTGTATCAGCTTCCAGCCCGGTTATTGAGACATGATTGTTGTAAGTCGTGGAAGTGGGATAGGTTAGGGAGACATTAGAGGAGACACATCGGTTTAGATGCTTGGTGCTGCGCCCAAAGCAAACTGTTGGATGAGGCAACTGCGAGTAGGTGTTCCAGCTGACGGTCATGCCGTGTGGTCCCGCATATGCCAGACGAAGTTGCATAGGATAGCTTCCATTCTGCTCGGTGGTAGGAGCCGCGATAGAGTCCGTGAAGAGAGTGGACGCTGCGATGGCAGCCAAAATGGAAGATGCAATACCGTCCATTGTAGTACAATTGTGGGATGTTCCGATTGAGGAACAAGGAAGATGGAAGTCTTATGTCTGGTTATATATGGGTTACTGTCGAAACATTTTTCAGGTAATCTAAAGTCACCCTAGGTACAGTCCTAGCGATGAGTTCTATATCATTTAATTATATTACGCACCACGTGCAAATCATGCGCTTACATTATTGGTTTAGATAGATTCTATTGCGAAAATTGGCAAGGGACTGGGGGCTTCCCGATTCAGTCTAATAGCACTAGTCAAAGCTTAACCAGTCGAGCCAAAGTATGAAGAGATTGGTTTTGGATTACACATCCTGAAAGCCTTTGTAGCTGATCCATATATATCATATTAGGCAGGTGCATAAGTCACCCTTGCCTATTTGTGACATGAAATCAATGACCGAAGTAACCCCCGCAAGCACCCAGTTTTAGTTGAGTAGACGAGGAGATCGGATCAAGGCACAAGAGTTCCATGGAGACTTTCCTGGGCAGGCAGGATCGGGAAGCCGAAAGATGGCAACCGGCAGTTAGTAGTTGTTTATTATATAATCAACGGCATTTCAGTTGCTTCATGTTGGCATTTAGTCAATAATGACGATGGATGTCCGCCATAGGACCATGAAGTTTTGAATGTTTGCTCTTTGAATTTCCCCTCAATTCAAAATTGGTCCCCGTCCCACAGACAATTGGCTGCAAATCTCGATGCATCTGGGAGCGTAGCCAGTTCTGGACTCCGGTATTGCAACTCTGTGCACACTGGACACTGGCCTAGTGCCCTCATTGGCGTACATGGACTGGCCATAGCAGGTCCTGCCTCCAGTAATAATTCAATAAAGTTACCACTAACCTAATGTAACTTTCGGAGATAAACCCGGCTTACCGGCGTGTCGTTGCATTGTCCCTTATTTTCTGTCCATATGCTGCGGTGTTCCATCACACGTGCTTACAAGCAGCCAGTTAAGGAATGTGGGTGCTGAACCCATAAGATAGTTGATGTCTGTCAGCAAGTATACCAATTACGATCGACTTGACGTTGTTACAAACCCCGCCTAGCCTATCGAACAAGCACAAGACTGAAAAAGTAGGCATTTTTCCCTATTGTAGCTATTGTCCGCAAGACCACCAAGTACTGCTTGACACCTGGAGATGCTGATGGGCTCTACTATGCCTGGACCGTGAACAGCGGCGCATCGTTAGAATATGAAGTCCTTAGAGACTTCCCCAGGACGAGTATTTTGGGACGGCTGCCTGAATTTACATAACATCAGCCCTTCTTGCGGTGGCCCTGACGGGAGCTGTGCCCTGTTTTTTCAAATACGTAACCAATTGCCCTCATCTCCGATGGTGAAGTCCTTTTGAAGCAGATATATGAGGCGCTCCAGACTACGCCCAGTGAAATGAGCCACTTTTCATTAGTATCTTCGACGAAACCGAAGGATTCCATGATCACGTCTCTGCACCCCTGATGCCACAACTATGCTTTCAATTTCGACCGTCTCAGTGGGCGTGTCCCAACTTCCTGACCTCTCCGTGGGATGAGAAAGGACTCATGAGGTCCAGCCAAAAGCGGCATACCGAACGTAGTCATCAGTAGCCCATAGTGGCTAGGCATTTCGACCGAAGCAAAACTTCAGTCGGGTCAATAAGGTAGTATCTGATGACCTTTGTTGAGCTGTGAGTCATGTTGTTTCGTAGGCGTCATCGACTATAACCCCAATTCCTCGCGTTGTTCGCTTACACTTTCCATTGCGAGATAAATAGTCGGCAGCTTCTCTGCGCGCTCCAGTATTAGGAATCGGTATATCTCAATTTTCGTTGAGACGATGACCACTTTGTGCTCTGATCCCAGAAAATGTCTCCCGTTCGTTAACTGATTACATTCGACTCTCTGGGAGACTCGAGGCTGTATGAGTTATGAAGAAGTAAATTGCGCAATAGCTCGCGTGACTCTGCAGACGTTACCATGAGGATGTCTAACTGACAGTATACGGACAGCCAGGCGAAAAAGTACTCAACGCTGAAAACATTACCCGATTTCCTTCGATTCAATACTCATTTATCTTATCTTGGGTACCAATTAGTCGATTGCTTCTTATCACTGTCACAACCTTTGATCTTCCTCCATGATGCCAATTAATCCCAATGTGGCCTAGCGTACATTTTTTGTAGGTAACTGGCGCACCAATTATGACGCGACTTTCCGTATAGCCAGGACGCGCTGCGCAGCCAACCACTCTCAATTTCCCTGCATATATGCTCGCAAAGAACCCCTTGCATTTCAGCCTCGTGGGCATACTACTTCTCGTCTTTCTCTTCTGCGAATGAACTCGCGCTGGCGTGTGTTTCTTTCTGATACTGCTTATCCTTTGCTCTACAAGTTCGCCATTCCCAGAAGCGGCCGATTGGCGGCCCGAAGACTTTGACAATTTCGACTCCTGGATCATCGTTTGCAGCGCACTCGAGAGCCATGTCTCTCAAACGAAAAGCTTCCTTCTCCGCGCTGTCGCCCGTAAATACAGTGCCAGTTGTCGCGGGGCCGTCGCGAATGGTGGAAGATTCACCAAGACATCTCCACAGCCGAACACGGAAGCGTTTCAGAGGTGATCGACCAGATGAGAAAGTGGTATATGGTAAGGACAGGCCTGGCCTTGTGCCTCATATTTGCTTCACCCGTGTTGACTGATGGTAATAGAGAATACTCTACGCTGGTTGTTCAATGCTCAAAAGCACCAACACGGACCTGCTTCCCCAGTCGTTCAGGATGAGGATGAAGACGAAGACATGGATTCAGAACCACTACCGCCATCAGAAATTACCGACCCCCGCCAACAAACCTTGCATAAATTCTTTCAAACATGTCACGCTTCCTCTCCTCTTCCCCATTCAAACGACACCACAGACCGACAAATGCACCATACCCCCCAGTCGAAGAGCATTCCCCTGCACAACTGCAATCATATTGAAGCCTCACCAGGCGTGTCAAGTGAGGGCAGCTCGAGTAGCTCAGCATCACAGTTTGCGAGCGTCCGTGCGGATATGGGCATGGAATCAAGTTCCGACGATTCAGGTCAAGATTCGAAGAGATGGGCTGGAGCTCTGGCGTGGGCATGATGGTCTTATCGCCTTCAAATCGGCTGTCCGCACGTGTGTCGCAACTGGCGCGTATCGGCGACTCCCAATACCCGCGACGATATATACCCTCTCTTGGTTATATGTATACCTGAAACATCAGACCGGAGACACTGCTGGATGTATCCGCCAGTGTTCCCTTCATATACCTCTGATTGACCGCTTTCTTGCATTATCCTGATTGCTTAAGCACCCTCATTCCCGGCATTGACTGTTCATTGATCTGGCCATGGCTATGTACAGGTTGGTTTCTGCCCAAGATGGGCATCACCACCGACGCCTCCAAGTCCGAATATACCCACATCATATTTATCGGAAATACACTTGAGAAGAAGTAGTCGAAATAAAATGAGACGAATAATCCATATTATCATATTACCTTCTTGGAGTAGAGAATCGTTTGTTGTTTACCTATCCAGGTTGATATTAATATCTTAATGAATGGTGAGGTGATGTGTCACATGCGACCACACTTGAGACGGAGATCTTGAAAACCCTCAGGTTACGCTCACCAACAGTTCTGCCAGGCCGCCACACTCTAGCTATCCGGCACTGTCAGCCGGTCGACAGTTATTTGCGAAATCCAACCAAATTTCTGCTGGCCAGAAGACTCTGAGCTCTTGATCAATTCTCTCCATTCCTTCACCAATTGCCGCGGCGAGCTGTCTTTTCTTATTCTTCGGCAGCCAAAACAGACCAACGTACTTCTTCCATTGGTCGAACGCACCGAGTCAAAAGCGAAACTGCTGCCTTCGCCTTGACCGACAGCGGCAAAACATAAATCATGGATGAAATGCAAGCCATTCGTTATCTGGAATCGTTGATCGGACAAACACTACGGGTGCACACTACAGACACGCGTATGTTTGTAGGCACTTTCAAATGTACAGATGCGGTGAGTGCGCCATGACCTCGTCATGACCCAGTTCCCAGATCTTGAATTAGAGGCACGGACAAACATTATGGAGAATATTACGAGCAATCACTGACTGGGGCTCATGTCTCTTAGGAAAGGAACATTATCCTCGCGGGCACGTACGAATATCGCTTTCCCTCCCCATCAGCCATCAGGAATGCTACGGCAAACACCAATGACGAACAGGTCGAAGCGAACCCTGAGCCGAAAAATGTCACAGTGGATATGACCAGTCGATTTATCGGTCTTGTCGTCGTTCCCGGGCAGCATATCACGAAAATTGAACTCGAGGAAACGCCTCAACAGAGCCATCTACGAGACACATTGCGGAAGTCATAGCACCTCTCTTTCGTCGGGCACAATTGGTGTTGGTGATGTCGAGCCATACGCGGACATTGTCTGCTACAGCTGCTCCGATTTTGGCCGGCTCAATTCGCGTGGCCAAGGCTCTACAACGAATGAAGGGGATGATGGGAGTTATGGTGAACTGCCCTGTGCAACAATTTGCATCCTCCGCGTATTCAGCAGCTAGGAGATTACCAGAGCTGTTGCTTGAAAATTCCTGCTTTGCACAAATCAAAATCATCGCTCGCCGCCAAGACACCAGCCAGGATAACCAACGCAGCTTCTCGCATGATCTATATGACTACAACGTGGCTAGGAGACAGAGCAGGAGAACACTTGGCGCAGGACTTATGGCTTGGCAGTGACAGCTACAGTCAGCTCGAAGCCGGCCTAGGGTGGGGGGTTGAAATGGCGGTGTTCCTGCAGTGAACTGAGGAAGATTCCTATTTATCCCGTTCAATGTCGGGGATTCAAAACCTGTCGAGTCCCAAAGCAATTCGCTACAGACTAGCCAGCTTGATTGGTTAAGGCGACTGGCGGCATAGCTTGGTCCAGGCTTGTCTGCTTTGTATGGTCCCTTAAGCTTGACAGAGTCAAATTTGGTGGGCCGAGCATAATTCAGAGTGCCCCTAAAAGCATTTTACCTATTCACCAACTCAAGAAATACGATCAAGGGCTGCAAGCAATCAGAATGCATCAAAAATGGGTATAATCGGAGGAGCATAGACGACTGATATATAGTTATATGCTAGAGAACAGCTGACTCATACTGCCCATCACATGCTCCAGGCTGAACCCAAATCTCTTTGTAGAATGTGTTCTGACCTTCAACAACTCCGAAGTCCAGAATGCTGGTAAAAAACGCCAAGCCAAGAGAAAAGAGGGGGAAGACGAGATCGCGTTGTCCGTGCTGAGATGTGTCAAATTCAATTCCACACTTGCCAGTCACGAGGAGTCCAGAGGCGCTGATTGACCAGTGGCTCAGCAACATCCGGAAGCCTAAAAGGTAGAAGTGGAAAGATGATAATGAGGCACCCCCGATGATTGGCCACCATTACCTCATTTTCTCATCTTTGATGTAAGACAAGCAGCGGGCCTGTCAATGTGATGATGCTAATGACTTTGATAACACACTGTGATAGAAAATGATCAGAAATTGGTTCTCTGACGAAGTAAACATGGAGAATCTACGGGGTAACCATAGATGTATTCCGATTATTTATAGAACTAGGCACCAGTATCACCATCATCGACTTGGGGCAATTCTTCGATAAAGCCTGAGGCGTATCAAACCCAGACCCGGAGCTTATCCGGGCCGACAGATGATCCGGGGAATGCCACACCCGCTGCATGATCGAGACCCAAAAATGACGGCCTGGAGATTGAGAAGGCGAGAGTGACCATCTGCTGCCCAGCAAATCCCAGCAAACGGAGTGGTACCTACTCCGTACTAGTACACCTGTTGACCTCTTCTTCTACGCCACAATCAACTCACTTGCTACAAACAGAGAAAATAACTCTTTTCCCTCTCTTCAGTCCGTTCTACTTCCTCACAGCTTCACTCCCTTTTCTCTCCCCCCATACTCTGTCGATCTGTACTGCCTCATAGGCTCATAAAGGTTCGTCTCGTCCCTTCGATCTGCTCCATTCCCAGCTACCGCATCTCCGTCCATTGCACACCCCATAATGACGCAGTATTTCCCCATCTAGTGCAATCCTTTCTTCCCTCCCCTCCAACCCATAACTCATCCCGTCACGCAAGTCCTCTCCAGCCACCTCCACACACATACCATTTTCCCCTAGTGGTATTTCATTGTCAGTCACCTGCTCACTTCCCCAGTGTCCTGTCCCTCATTGCCCTGCTCCGCTCATACTAACTCACATATTTTAGAAGCTTCTTCTTACCGGCGAATCGGAGCTTTCCCTTCCGACCAGCTAGCTCTGTGGCTTGGACACTGTACTGTGATGCCATTCTCGTCTCGGTCGGTTCCTGCAAATTCCCCTCCTCCTTCCTCGACTTGAACGGTCGGTACGACTGCTGTGGAAATCCTCTTCCTGTAACGACAATAATCGGTCGGCAAACGAACGAGCGTTGCAATATTCTGCATCTGGAACTAATCGCGGCTACTCTTTGAAGGCATACCCTCCGTTCGATTCTCACAGGCGGATCTCCATCCTATTTTATAACCCCGGCACCGTCGTGCAGGCCAAGACAAGCCCGAGCATTCCAGTGCGAGCCCGGAACTTCGTATCGTCTTGAATAGATACGCTTTTGTGGATCATACAATCTCGAGCTTGGCAGATATCCACGCCTTGCAGTAATGGGTCAGTCGCATTCCAAGGGCAATTCTGGCCCTGGAGACTCTCTGCAGTCCTATCCGTCCTTCTCTCGCTCCGATACTAAGGAGTCTCTTCGCTCTTTTCGCGGCTCCATCCGGTCCAAGATTCGGAGTAGCGACAGTCCCAGAGGATCGACTGCAGGATTGTCGGACGATAAATCCGACGCAGCATCGGTCAAGTCGACAACCAGTAGACGCAGTTCCACCAACCAAAGCGTCCAGTCTCCTGATGATGCCTCTTCTCAACCCGATGCTCCTGAGCCTCCTCCATCTCCTTCCCTGTCGAGTAGCTTGAAACGAGGTCATAAAGATGTGAATGCAATGCAGCAGAGTGGCGAGGTCGACCATGTATCCGATGTACCTCCCTCCGGCACTGGGCCCACGGGCCCGTCGACCCAGAAAGTCGGCGAATCGATCCTCATCAAAAGAGAAAACCAACTGAATCCGATTTTGGACTTCATCATGAATGCTCCATTAGAGACGTCTGGTTCTCCGGGTATGGGAATGGGTGCCTTGAAGTCTATCGACCTTGATGACATGATCTCGCGACTGCTCGATGCCGGCTACTCCACCAAAGTCACAAAGACCGTTTGCCTTAAGAATGCGGAGATCATGGCCATTTGTTCAGCGGCACGGGAGCTCTTCCTCTCCCAGCCTGCATTGCTAGAGCTGTCGGCTCCTGTGAAGATTGTGGGCGATGTCCATGGCCAATATACAGACCTTATTCGACTTTTTGAGATGTGTGGCTTTCCTCCTGCTTCCAACTACCTCTTCCTAGGCGACTATGTCGACCGTGGCAAACAAAGCTTGGAGACTATCTTGCTCCTCTTGTGTTACAAGCTCAAGTATCCCGAGAACTTTTTCCTTCTCCGCGGTAATCATGAATGTGCCAATGTCACTCGTGTTTATGGATTCTATGATGAGTGCAAGCGGCGCTGCAACATCAAGATTTGGAAGACTTTCATCGATACATTCAACTGCCTTCCTATCGCTGCTACCGTCGCTGGCAAGATCTTTTGTGTTCATGGCGGACTGTCTCCTAGTCTCTCGCACATGGATGATATTCGGGGAATTGCTAGGCCCACTGACGTACCTGACTATGGCCTGCTCAATGATCTTCTGTGGAGCGACCCCGCAGACATGGAAGAAGATTGGGAGCCCAACGAACGCGGTGTCAGTTATTGCTTCGGTAAAAAGGTGATCATGAACTTTTTGCAGCGTCATGACTTCGACTTGGTCTGCCGCGCGCATATGGTGGTCGAGGACGGGTACGAGTTTTATCAGGACCGTATTTTAGTCACTGTATTCTCGGCTCCTAACGTGAGTACCGAACTTTCCTTTTGCATGATTTTTCCGGTGAAGAATACTGTGTTTGCTGACTGGCGTCTGTAGTACTGTGGCGAGTTCGATAATTGGGGTGCCATTATGTCAGTGTCGGGGGAGCTGCTATGTAGCTTTGAGCTACTCAAACCGCTGGATTCCACTGCTCTGAAGAACCATATCAAGAAGGGCAGGAAAGAGCGGAATAACATGTTAAGCAGTCCTGTAAGTTCGCCCTTACTTCGCTTCGTTGTCGCCAAGGAAGATCACAGCCTCTTCGTGCAACATCGCCGAGGCGCTTGTGGTCTATTCCTTGCCTATCCGTCTCTCGTCACATCATGGGCCGTCAGTCACTAATAGTTCTAGCCCGCCCACGTATCGGCCCAAAGCTACTAATTGTTCCACCCATTCACCCGCCAAGAAATTGCCTTTACAACACGCTACCGCCAAGCATCTCCGAGCCCATTTCGACCGATTGATGGCAAATGTGACGTTCTATCAAAAGTGCATATTCTTTCGGTAATACTCGGAAGCGAGAAGCATTTTATGGTACGGTACAGGCTCTACGAGAACGAGTTCTCACCGTCAATATCCGAGCGCCATGGTGGTCATTTTCTAGGCTGCTCTCCTTGCTGCCCAGCAACCCTTGCGCCTTCAAATCACAGGCTACCCCGCTTGCCATTAATAGGGCCGGCCGAACCCTGTGTCTGATGGGTCCAATCTTCCGCTTAGACACGTTGCTCACAATACTAGTTTCCCGTGAGACATTTGTCCTTGCGGATGAGACGAGTTCCTGCTTCGAAATCGCTTCTGGTCACTCCCGACGATTATATACTGTCTCCATCCATTCTAGGCAGTTATCGGGTTTCGTCCGATGGATCACGCAAGGGGAAAACAGACACGACACAATTGGCAGAAGCCGCTGTCGTATTCGCTTCCAGGTGTTTCTTCTACAATTTCTCAACTCTTTCTTCTCTTGCCTCGCACTATCTCACTTCGTCATGACATATGTTTGAGAGCGGTAGTTATTGTTTATTTTTCTTTGTTTCTTTTTCGTCTCACGGTGCAGCACGCAATGAGGCGCGGGTGTTCTCTACAAACACTCTATTAGACATTTTAAGGAGTCACAGATTGACACCTGTGGGGTCAGCATACTGTCTAAATATGCATCAGAATCTCAAAGTTTGACTGCTCATGTTGATTCAAAGCGCTATGTGTCTTGTAGCAGCTGCTGCGGTAATATCACTACCGAGTCGAAGCACCAGGTCGATAAACTTATCCAGTGAGTCAACACCGTATCTCATCCCCTAAATGTTGGTGTAGTCCGTTCTCCAA